TAGGGAAAACGCAATGCATACCAAAAAGTGGGAGATTTCAAAGTAGTGCTTACAGGAGAGGAAAGAAAAAGCCCAGAAATGCAAAACAGAAAACACTGACCTAGCAACACAGCAGGATCTATGGTTCGATAGGGTGTAGGAAAGAATTGTTCTTACAACAACAGGCATTCAGAGCATGCCACATAAGGAGATGGTGAAGTTGGAGGACATTGCTGGTATGCTCTACCACAGGAATATGCAGCATTGCTGTTGCCAGTACTGTATAACTTGATCAAAATATATTTTGAAAGTTGCCATGAGAAAGACGGTATGGAAAAAGCCACCTTTCATAGCATGCTATTTCTATTCACATTGAACGCTCTCATGAAAACACAGTTTTATAATCCACTTGTAGTCCTTTACTCACAAATTTCTTTCATCATCAGAATACCTATCAGCTGCAGCATAGTTAAGAATGTCACCATTACCCACCCTAATATATAGAGACCATACACAAGAATTGCTTGAAGCAGCAGTTAATGTTAGTAGTATTGATTTAAGCCAGTTGAGAGTTACAGGCAGACACACAAAAAAGCAGGGCTAATCTTGCACTAGTTAGGGAAGCAAAACTTCTACCTCCCAAGTGCTTTTTATGGAGGAAAAAAAGAAACCAAAAGTCAGTTATTTGGGTGTTTTAAGGTTTTTTTTTTTAAATGATGTGCTGTTGAAAATCATTAGCTGAACAATGACAGCATTTTCTAGTTACAATTTAAAGCGGGTAAGATAAAGAATATACAAATAATGGTATAAATAATAACAAGCAACAGCCTTTACAGAAATCGCTTAAAGCAATGGTTATAACTGACATGACAAATTCAACTTATATATCTACATATACAAATCTATACATTCCATAAATACAGCATCAGCTGAAGTTTAGTCCACTGCTTCACTATTCAGTATGGGATACCGCAGGTTTTACTGCGGATTAGAAGCTTCTGTTTTCTAATACAAATCCACAACAGTCATACAAGAAATTCAGTTTTTGACATAACTTACAGAGAAATTAATGCTCGGTGGCACTAACAGCAGGAAACTCACAAGGTGGTGTTTTGCCTTCCTTAACCTACAACAGGGATTTCTGTATTAGCCGATCCTCTGTCACTTATGCTGTAACTCTTAAGCATAATGAGAAAGACTAGGGGTTTTATTTCATCTTTCCTCTGATTTCTTTACATTTTTAGACTAGTCTCAGACATTTGGTCCTTATATTAAGAGTAATTTTATAGCTAATTATAGACATTATAATTTCTTGGAACGTAGCAAATGGAACTATGATGCCAAATCTCCATCTCTTCATGGGATGCCAGGAAGAACTAGATTCTTTACTGATGTAGATTAATCTTCACCCTAAAATGCAAAGGGGAAAAAAAATGAAAAACAAGTCAGTCACGGGCAGTTTCCCAAAGCTAGTCATGGTTTCAGCTGTCAAGAAAGAGAAAAGCTTTTTGAAATGTATCTAATATATAAAAAAAACCCCACAACAAAACACGTCTGATGTAATAGTCTTGAAAAGCTTTTAAAAGAATGCAGGTTCTTTGGCAAACACTTATTATCAGATTATGAAAGCAGACCATGGTTTTGTTTTGGTTTGGTTTTTTAATACATATAATTACAAAATGTTCTCAGTTAAGTGACAATTCAATTAAATGTATCCACTTCATTTTTCAGGATTCTATGCCCCAAGCACATATTTGGGATTAAAAAGACAGGATTTACTACATCTTTTTCTTATCAAGTTTTCACTATCTGGTAAATTCTTGGGTTAAATTCTCCAAAAAGATTAGTGGAACTGTACAGTGCCTACTCCATCAGCATCAATTGAGTTCAATCTCACTACACCTTACTGTAACAGAGTCCTAGCATTGTTATAAACTCCAAATACTACAGACAGCATTTCTGGAAGACTGTGGGTAGTTTCCAAGAGATACCCACCTTTAGCTGGTCAAATGGTTCTAGCTGACCATTAGATTTCCATGGCAAGTGGGAAAATGAAGCATTTCCAGGCTTATTGCCTTTCTTCAATGTTTGTGAGAGAGAACCAGCTGCACGCACTCACTGCAGGAGAAATAGGTGGAAGGCTGGACCCATCTTGCACAAAGAGAGGATAAGACATCCTCCATTATTTAGGGTACTATATGAGACTCCTAGTCAGAGGACCTAGTTGCATCACTTCCAGGAGCCACCTCAATGGGGACAAAGACTGTAAGCATTACAGTACCAAATGAGCACGAACCATAAACATTTGTTAGTTTTCAAGGAGAACTGCTAAACTTCAAACTCCAAAATAAAGAACTCCCAGAGATCCAGCTGAAGCTAGAACATTTATATGAACGCCACATGATGGAAGCCACAGAACTTTATCTAATTAGTGATTGTTGCTGGGAATCCTACATTTTGTAATGAACTACAGCATCTAGAGCAGGTTGGAAGATTGCAGTTAAAGCCTCTAACTGTGTCACACATATTTTGGCTTGCGGGACAAACAAGGAAACAGTTTAAGATGATGTAGGCTGTAACACGCCTCCTGTCCCATCTGCATTAAGCACAAAACCTGTTAGAACGTTTGTGCCACAGAGCCAGGCCCAGGCTTGCCAAACACAATCCTGTAATGCCAACTGCTGGCTAAGCCAGGAAGCAGGAGCCACCGTGATGAGGAACAGATGAAAGCTGTACTCATCACAATGAGAAATTCCAGCTCCCCATTTCCTCCATAAAAGAAAACTTAACTCCTGAGAAGTTTCTTGTTTGGTATCACAGAAAGTGAAACAAAGAAAGAGTGGAGGGAGGAGAGCAAGTGGGGTACTTCTGGCAAGATCAGAACTGCGTTTGTCACATAACCCAGCGCAGATTGGAGCTGTTCTGGTCATGCATACTGTAACTCCTCTGCACGTTTTCTACAACCCTGATTCAGAAAGACACTTAAGTATGCACATAACCTTTGAAATATATGTTTAATTACAATACCTGGTTTACATTTGAAACTAGACTGTGTAAGTCTAATTCTAACCAAAAATAATATATTAAGCTTCTGGCACAGTCATGTTACAAAATCCAACTGCAAGGTTCACAGAGTATAGTTCTGGACATCTGGCCTAGTTTTTTTTCCTCCAGAGAACCCAGAAAAAGGACAGGCAAGCATTCAACATAGACAAGAATCCCAGAACTTACAGGTTGGCTTCATTGCTATCTTTCAGGACAAACTGCAGGTCAGAGCTTAAAATATGGGGGAGAACCCTCATATCCTGCCTATCTCTGCTTCAGTGTTACTTAACCTTTCAAAAGTTTTCCACGTCTATGCAACATTTCTAGCAATTGCTAACTAAGTACATGTGTTGAGGGTCTAGAGAATAAATTTATATATTAATCCTTAAAGCATGATTTTAAGTGCTCAGAATTGAATTCTGAAAACAACTGTGCTGTACACTGAAATATGGCACTTCATTATTTTCAGTGCTTTTGACTAATCATGAATTGACATAATGCTAAACAGACCCAATTAGTTCAATAAAAAGAAGGCAGCAGTCTAGCAAAGTCATTCATTATAATATTTATTCTATGAAACAAAGAAGAAAACATAAGATTAAAAAATGTTCCATGCATTTCATAAAATACAGAGAAAGACTTTGTCACAAACAAAACAGAGAATAAACAAGCAAAACTCCCACTGAAAATCCCAAGAGCTCCACTCTCCACGCTGCACCATATACATGCAAAAAGCATATACAGGAGAAAGAGCGGTCTGAGGAAAGTGGCAGGTTATCTGTCAATATTTTGGATGAGTAAATCAGCCCACAAGACTTTTGCCATCACCTCTCATCATAAACCCAAACTGATGCACCTTGGTTTCCTTGCTACCAGTTCTTGGCATTGTCTTTGGCTGGGAAACCAGGATAGCACAGCAGAATTCGTATTAAGTTGCAGGCTAGAAAGATACTTGGGCCCAAAGTGTAGGTAGATACAGAAAGATAGCAGGGCACAATGGGTGGGAGGAGATGGCAGTTGTTCCGCTGCTGGAAGCAAGGTGGAAGGACATGCTTTGACTATCTTACCGGGAGCATGGAGGGTGGGAAATACATCCTGCAAAAGAAGTATGGGCAGAAGCAGGGAATATATCTAGTACCTCTCTTTAAGAGTCCCAATAACATGAAAGACATGCTGCATTATAAGGGGATGCTGAAAGCAACACCTTTATTTAGGTTACAAATTACATTACTATAAACCTTCTTACTGAAAGCTTTTGATCCAGTTCCTTCTCCTCGACCTACAGTACTCCATTTGGCTTTAGCAAAGCTGTTACAAGATCCTCCTCTTGCCTTCCCCCCCCCGCCTTACAGAACCTTTCAGACTCCCACAATGGTTACCAACCACATAACTACTGACCACAAAGCCAGTCTAATTCTGGCCTTTGACACAAAAGCAGCCCCCATCTCTTATCGGGAATGCCCAAAAGCTGCCATAGCTGTATTTGGGGAGGACGGTGTAGAGAAAGGAAGAACAAGGCTCTGCTTACACAAACACCTATTACCCCCAAAACCCCACTCCATGCAGGCTTAGGAACACCACGATCAAAGAGTTTCATGTGAGGAGGAGCAGAGAGAAGACAGCAGACTGGGATCCTTCCCCCTGCATCTGGGGATGCATCCACTTCTCTGACAACAGCATTCATCTGCTAGCTTCCAAGCTATCTCTGCTGCAGTGCGGAAGGTTCTGCATTGGCCTCCTGTGAATGATGCACCACGGGGGAAGATTGTTACAGTTACAAATGTGGTTTTCATGTTGTTTCTTAAAAACATAAAGTTAGGAATTCGTATTTTTCAAAAATTTACAGTAAAGTGTAATTTAACCTGTAGCAGGAAATATTTCAAAATTAGAAGATGTGAGATATAGGATTGCCCGTGCTAGACCTTAACTCTGTTCCTTTGCATGTACGTATCAGGAATATGACTTTTATCATGTGATCTTTTCACCTTTCAATCCCCAGAAGAACCTGATTTCATTCCCTGGACAAGCACAAATGAGGCAGAAAGAAGACTCCATAGGAAATCTCAAGTCCAGCATTTCTCACTTTTGAGTGCCTGCAGCTAGAATAATGTTTTCTTGATGGAGTTTTTAAAATTCAGTTATGTTTTACATGCTCCATTTACCTTGCATGAGGAAAACAGAAAATACTGTAAAAGATTAAGGTCTCAGGTCTTCACAGGTCTCCACAGGCCTTGGTGAAACAAAAAGATTGAGTATTTTAAAATAACTGCCCAGCTTCCTAGCTGGTGTAATTTCTGTGTTGTCCATGTAAACATTACACAGAGTCTTTGTACCACCCACTAAGCTCTTTGCTTCAATCAACTATTTGTGCCCAAAAGCACATCCTTATGTTTCTTCCTACACCACAGCCAGCCTCCTACGCCACAAAAGATGTAACAAAATGGGAATTAATCATAGGCTGGATACTCACAGGGATTGCTGCTGTTTGCTTCTGTCTTCCCAGCCTTGGCAAGTTTGATTGAGTTCTGCTGTGCTTTGCCCTGCTCCTCTCCAGTTAGCAGGGCTTTTATTTCAGAGGGGATTTTCCCTTGGTCCATCGCCATGCACCACTGCTTGTACTGAAACATGCAAACACATTAGGCATTAGCAAACTGCCAGGATCACATTAGCAGACAAAACAGAGCTGTAATCTTTCCCTTCCGGTATATTCATTTAAGGTTTGAATTTACTGGGCTGAAGCCTCTTACAAAACTGCAGAGCACTAATGAGCTAAGCACGTGTCCATGGTTGCATACCTGGCCTCAGTAAATCCCATTTCAGTCAATAAACTGCTACTCAGTGGCAGTACTAGACACAATACTGTAATTATTAAACAACATGGAACACTCTGTGCATTTTCTCACTGCTGCCATGCCAGAATACCGTTCCAGTTCATGGCCTATTAAAAACAAATATTTCACATGACTTTGGGGCTGATTGACTATTAAGAGGTCCTTTCTGATTGTGCAAGGCACAGTTACAGCACATGTGCCTTATTCCTACCTTATTCCTAATTCCCTCATCTTAAATTCTTCATTGGCAAACCCTGAAGCACACCGAAAAACCTGTGGTCAGTTGGCTGACTTTCCACCCAATCCTAACCCTATTCACTTGTGGTGATTAGCCTTGTCTATTCAGACAAACCTAATGCAAGGTCAAGGCAATATCCTCAGCTCCAGTGACATTTCAATGACATCTCAATATCACTGAGGAGCTGAGTCTGTATTTCCAGGTAAAACATTCTCTTTGGTTAATGCAGCTTATTTGGCTAAGACACCCATCTTACACATGCTGGAACACAGGACAGCTGTACAACCATCTACACAGAGAGTATCCTGGGAGAATCAACCTCCCCAACAGAGACAAAGGTCTGTGGGAAGCAATGACACACTGCGGATGTATGTCCCCCTTGATATTTTAATACATCACTTTCCACCCTCTGTCAGAGGTTTTCCAAAACAAACATTTCAAATACAACAGACTCATAAGCAATGGCACTTTCTTTGCTTGATTCCAGTTCAGAACCAGTAGGTAACTTGCAACATGGGGTTCATATTCAACACACAAAGTAGACAAACAGCTGAGTGCATCTGTTACTCATGTTTTGATACTTTATGGCTAGCCAAATCCCACTCTCAGTCACAGTGATTTCAAGAACAAATGTCCACAAGGGCAGGTCCCAAATAATACTGACGGTTAGGTTAAACGATAGTTTCTTACCATTTCAAGCTCTTCTCTAAGAGCGCATATGGCTCGCTCTCTGCTCGAAACCAGCTCTTCCAGATACTGGTACCTCAGCTTCTTCCTGGCTCTGCACTCTCTTGCACTCTGACGACTTCTTTCAAGCTTTGCCTTTAAGTCTATTTTGGCTGGTTTACGACCTCGCTTGCCTGGTTTCTTTACCTTGCCTCCGACCACCTGGAAAGGAAGGGTACATTAAAGATCCTGTTCTGCAGAGGGAATGCTGGAGCCATGCCATTGTGCCTACTAGGTGTCTCAAGCAGAAAATTTTGCATTTGCTTTCACTGGTTCTGAGCAACAGAGGAAAGATGTAGCTTGTTTAGGGGGCTGATGTATGAAGTTTTCAGTGACAGTATCAAAAACAAAAGGGAGGGATATGACTTCATATTGAAGTCCGTGCTTAAGCAGTCCTATTGTAAATGCTGCTACTCTGATTTGAAGGAACAGCATCACAGAACAGTTGAGGTTGGCAGGGACCTCTGGAAGTCATCTGGTCCAGTTCCCCCTGCTCAAGCAGGGCCACCTAGGGCCAGTTGCCCAGGACTGTGTCCAGATGGCTTTTGAATATCTCCAAGGAGGGAGACTCCACCACCTCTCTGGGCAACCTGTGCCAGTGCTTGGTCACCCTCACAGTAAAAAAAAATGTTCCCTGATGTTCAGAGGGACCCTCCTGTGGTTCAGTTGGTGTCCATTGTCCTCTGGTCCCGGCACTGGGTAACACTGAAGAGAGCCTGGCTCTGTCCTTTTTACACCCTCTCCTTCAGGTATTTGTACACACTGATGAGGTTCCCTAGGCTTTCTCTTCTCCAGGCTAGACAGTCCCAGCCCTCTGAGCCTTTCCTCAGAGGAAAGGTGCTCCTCCATCATCTTAGCGGCCCTTTGCTGGGCTCTCTCCAGTAGTTCCATTTCTCTCTTGTACCGGGGAGCCCAGAACTGGACACACTACTCCAGATATCTAGGAGGGTATCTGGGACACTTAGGAGACAGAGACGATCATTCAAATTCATAGCAAAACTGTTTTATGATTACCAACAACTCCTGCCCTAATACAGTGTTTCTAGAGTTGGCAAGTATTACAGAGTTTAACACTTTAATTTGGAAGAAAAAAAATTATTTATATTAGTATAACCCAAAACTTAAGTTTTGCTGCAATAAAATGACCACAGTTTCAGCCTACTCGAAAGATGAAACTTGTTAGAATTACTCACTAGCCATCTGAGCTTCCTCAGTCCTGATTTCTTTCAAAGGAATCTCCTGAGGATTTTTACTAAACAGGGAACTCTGCTACACCAAGTCCTACCTCTGCTGCCTCTGTTCCAGTTGTACCTAACCACTCTGGCTGTTTACCTTCGAAACAATACTACACAGCCTAGAAAATTGTCTCCTCACGCCTCCTCATGCAACCTTTTCCAATGTTCAGCTCTCCCAGCACCTAATTTACATCTCCATTGAGGAACTGTAACCCCCTAGTTTCTTGTCCTGAGGACTGCAGGTTTTGCAATCATTTTCCCCTCTTTTTTGTGCCTCCTTTTTTACAGGTCAAAAAGCTTCTCTTGCTACAAATAAAAAAAGAAGGGAGAAGTTTCCTCAACATTTACTCTATGCTTCCCCACCCGAATATTTTGCTCTTAACATGAGAGCATGGCACATGAAAGTCTTAAAAACAATCTGAAATTCAGTACACTGGCCATCGGGTAGTATCACCCTGTAAGCATTACGTCAGCCCCACCTCCCCTCTGAAGTGAGTATTTCTCTTTATTTGCATTCTGACCACACTGTTTGAATGGAGGGGGTGTGGAGAAACACACCTAACACACACACACCTACATACAAGAATTTCACTGCTGGCTTGGTGTTTCACCATACTGTCTATAGATGGTACCTTTTCTAATAGGCAGTGTTCAAAATATCAGAGTTCATAATAAAAAAAAAAGGCACTTTCTACTGTGTGATGCTACAAAAATAAGTTAGCTTTGACATAAGTCAGCTTTGACATTCAAAGAAGTCACTTGTTCTATGAGCTTATCAGGCTGCAATAAAAACAATAACATAGTGAACTGATGTACTAGAATGAAAAAAAAAAGGATTATACAATCCTTTATGCAAATTATACTCTTTCTTTGGAAAGCGAGTCAACAACCACATGCCAACATAATCCTACCCTCTGTATATTGCCTCACCTAATTCATTCAGGTATAGCTGCCTACCATAAGAAAATGAAGGAACAGAAAGTACTTAATGGGCATCTAGTGATAATGAAACAAACATAATACATTCAGAAAAGAAAAAAATCAATCTCTCTTACATTGGAACTGCTGAATACAGTTTGAATAATTCATTCACTCCACCAAGTTGCTCTCCTTGAGATCTTCTAGATCAGATACTATACTCACCAAAACAATATAAGACAAACCAGCCATGGCCAAGGGGGAAAGAAGCTCCAAAGAAAGGAAAGCGACTGTCCCCTTTCAGGCATGACAAGCGTGACTCTGTCCTCTCATGGAACCACACTCATATTTCTGGGTGGTGTGATTTATACTCCCAGCTCAGTAGGAGTTAGAAACACACACAGTCTTCCCAGGAGAGGCTGCAGGCACTCACAATTTGCCATCTATTATTACTTGCACTTGAAAGATTTCTGGATATTATATTCTACACTACAAAGTACTTCACTTCTCAAAGACTTTTAGCACCTGAGGTTTTTCTGTGCCAATGCAAGGTAGTTTAAAGTAAATCTTTGAATTCAAGAGCTAGATAAGGTCTTGTAGAGACATACACTCCAGCTTCTCTTAAAAAAAAAAAACCACCAAAATCAACCACTTTGCCACTGTTTGAGCTCTGACCCTCTAGAAGAGTGGGCTAGCACTTGAGGTTGGAGTCCCAGCATACCACGTACTGCTGTATGAACAAATAGTCACCAAGGCGAAGGGCTCCGGGGCGGGTGTTCGTGCCAGGGCACCCTTGCTAAGGCGGCAAAAAGCGCAGGGTGAGAGCGGGCAGCCCAGCCTAGAGCAGGGAAGAGCCCCCAGCCTCGAGCGGGGAAGGGCGGGAAAGTGGGAGCTGCTAATGTGGGGCAGCTTTGACGCAGCGTGGGGGGGGAAAGGAGTGACAGCAGCCAAACCCCCCCACCTATAAAAGCAGCCCCCAGGGAGCGCGAACGACAGGAGTGCGGCGACCAGGACGGGCAAACAGGGCGTGGCGCGTCAGTTCGCACGGGCAGGGCGTGCGAGGAAGGCCGAGTGCCCTGGCTCCTAGTTCCAAAGGGAAACTCAGGCAGTGGTCATCGTC